TACACGGGCCTCTCACTGTTGTGGCCTCTCCAGTTGCGGAGCACAGGCTCCAGACGCACAGGCTCAGCGGCCATGGCTCACGGGCCTAGCCGCTCCACAGCACGTGGGATCTTTCAGGACCGGGGCACGAACCCGTGTCCCCTGCATCGGCAGGCAGACTCTCGACCACTACGCCACCAGGGAAGCCCTGTGATTGATATCTTAACTGTAGATTCTAACTTCCACTATTAAGAAGTGGCTCACTTTAGCCTATTTAATTTTATTTTTTTGCCCCGATTTCCTTGATTTCTTTGTGCTCTATTTGCATGATATGCCTTTGCCCCCCTTTTGTTCTTCTTAAAAGCTATCTGGATAACATTGCTATAGATGTACTCTAGGAGACAGCATATGTTGCAAACCTTTTTGAGAAAAGTAGTAGTTAAGCAATTTACATTAGTGTTGTTTGTGATATGGTTTTCCTTTCTTCTGTCATCTTAATTTTTTCTCTTTTTTATGCTATGTTGTTATGTCCATTGTTTTCTCTTTTTGCTGCACGGATTTTCTTTTTTCTTTTTTTTTGCAGTATGCAGGCCTCTCACTGTTGTGGCCTCTCCTGTTGCAGAGCACAGGCTCCAGATGTGCAGGCTCAGCGGCTATGGCTCATGGGCCTAGCCACTTTGTGGCATGTGGGATCTTCCCAGACTGGGGCACAAACCCGTGTCCCCTGCATTGGCAGGTGGACTCTCAACCAGTGCACCACCAGGGAAGCCCCGGATTTTCTTTTTTCATTGGTTCAGACAGTATAGATTTTGCTTTTATTCTGCATTACACATTAAAAAACAAAAATAAAAAAATCCTATTTGAATGTGTATTTCTCTTATTGCCTGTGTTGACTGAAATAATGTTAACTTCTCCCCCAGTAAGATAAGGAAGTTAGCATTCTTTACTTCCTTTTCTTCCTTCCCCCTTTTGCTTCCCTTATGTTATTGGTTTAATACAGCATTTTATTGCCAGCTTCTTATTTTTAATATTTTTAACATGTACTACATCTTTAAAGGATTCATTTTTATATTAATTTATAGCAATATTCATAACCATTATTTAAATAGGTATATGTTTTAATAGTTTCAGTGTTTACTACCAGTTCTTTCATACCAAAGCATCTCTGTCTTTCTCTGTATTTTTATTTCTCTCTGCACAGTGATTTCTATCTTCTTACTGAGGAATGGGATACTTTCTGAGCCCAGGATTATCTGAGAATATCCTTTTGTTGTCTTCACAAGTGAATAGGAACTTGATTGAAGATAAAATTCTTGGGCCAAAACCTTTGTTGTCAGAATTCTGGTGGCATCTCACATTGGCTTTGGGAATTTATAAAGTTTTGAAAGAGGAATTTGAAGGTGTGATTAAAAAAATAAATTCCTGTGTAGACAATCTGATTTTTCAGCCTGGATATCATAGAAGCTTTCTTCATGTGTGAAGTTCAAGACTTTAATCATTTACTCATGCACATGGTAAATGTTTATTGACCACTTACTATGTGTTTGACATTGCTCTAGGCATCGGGAATTCAATAGTGAATGAGACGGGAGTGCTTTCTTTCATGAAATTTCAGTCATGGGTTATATACATGTTAATGTTTTTCACAAAGTTTTCCTAGTACCCTGTGAGGTTTTGGATCTTCAAATTTCAATCTGTCTACACATTAGGAATACATTAAATCTCTGATTATTGTTTTTGTTTGTTTTTGCTCTTCAAATACTCCTATGTGGAATTCCTTGTCTGTCTGCATTGGTCTTCTATTTTCTCTTTTTTTATATCCGTGCCTTTTTCCTTTGCCTTCTGTGAGTATGTAGCAAGTTTGTTCTCTATATGCATTTATGCATTTATGCATTGACACTTATTTTTTTAAAGATTAATTAATTAATTAGTTAATTAATTTTTTGGCTGCGTTGGGTCTAAGTTGCTTCACGCAGGCTTTCTCTAGTTGCGGCGAGTGGGGGCTACTCTTTGTTGCGGTGCCTGGGCTTCTCATTACCGTGGCTTCTCTTGTTGCGGAGCATGGGCTCTAGGTGCGTGGGCTTCAGTAGTTGTGGCACGTGGGCTCAGTAGTTGTGGCTTGCGGTCTCTAGAACTCAGGCTCAGTAGTTGTGGTACACAGGGGCTTAGTTGCTCCATGGCATGTGGGGTCTTCCCAGACCAGGGCTTGAACCTGTGTCCCCTGCATTGGCAGGCAGATTCTTAACCACTGTGCCACCAGGGAAGTCCCTGCATTGACATTTCTGATGCACTTTAAATTCTGTTGTTGCACTTTCATTTCTTTTTGTCTCTTCTAGTTCCCTTTTTATTTCTGCCTCTCTCAACCAGCTTCCTCTCTGCTATCACATTCTCTTACATCTCATCCTTCATCTGTTTGAATCATCTTTAAAATTTTTTTACTGAAAGTACAGAACAGATGTTGCTGAATTTTACCATTATTTTGCTCACTATTTTTTTTCAACAGTGTTCATTCTTTGCCTTCTAGGCGTGATCTCCCTCTTCTTCTTTGTAAAATCATTTCATGGGCTCCCCCCCCCACCTTTCTATATTATTTGTCCTTGGAAGATAGAAGTTTAATTTAGGTTTGATATTTCCCTCATAATAAAATGGATGGCATTCCCTTTGATCTTACTTTTTATTGGATAATATTGGTATGCTTATCTCAGATCTCATCTTGAAGGATTTACTGCTGGTTGGATGATCCAGTATCCTTTGGAGAGCAGCTGTGAGAAAACCTACTGCCCCGAGTTTTATTTCTGAGCACTTTGCTATCTTGAGTGGTGAAGCTGTAGCTCTTGGGCCAGCTCAGCATTGCCTGGCTTCATTATGGTGCTATAGCCTACAGAGGCAGGAAGGAACCAAGTCTCTCCTTGTGCCAACCCAGGCTGTCTGTCAGGTGGAACCTCCAGGTCTCTAGACCTCCCCTTAGAAGTCCTTCCCTGTTACTGATCTCCATTGTGCTAAGGAAAGGCTATTATTATTAGAAGTAGAAATAGTGATAGCAGAGTATATAACCCTGGGTGCCTATCAGAATTGCCTGGTGAAGTAAAAAAACAAAAGAAACAAAAAACCCCCACAGATGTCCAAGCTTTACTTTAGATCTGCCATGTCTGGGTGAGGCTGCTGTGCAAATTTAGGACTGGGAACTCCCAGGCTAAATGGCTGCAGCTGGAGCAGTCCTGTGGCCTATCTTTGCTTCCAGCCCCTACCTCTATGGGCACCAGTCCTCCCCTATTCCTTCCTTTGAGATTTTGGAACCCTGCTCCTTTGCTTGGAAGACATGTTGCTTAGAGCTCTCAGCATCTTTCTTTACCTAGTCTCTTCCACATTGTGCTAAGCAGAAATATCTTCATGTTTCTGCCTTATGGATGGCAGTCAATCCTTCTTTCCAACCCAGATGCAAATTTTGACCCATTTTCACTATTCTCAGTCACTTCTGTCAGGGTTGGAGGTGGGAAGTGGGAGCCAGATGCTTTTGTTTTCAGACTATAATGGCTATAGGTGGGAAAATCATATTGAGATGGGAACTCTGCAGACAATACTTCTGCTTTATGCTCTGTTTGTGTACAGACATATACTATATGTGGTATTTCTCACGTACATATATTTGGTATACCTCAAAATCATGTGCGTACATGGGGAAATTTTTGTTTCTGGTGTCCTTATGAAATCTTGAAAATGAAAGCTATGAAGATAACAGAGAGCACGTTGTGATAGGTCTTCAAATTCTCTCTCATAACCGTATCTTACATTTTCCAGTTATAGCTAACCAAGAATATTTTCTCCCACAGCTAATTGCCTGGTGCTGCCTATGTCAGTGATATTTAAAGTGTTGTGGACAGTTCCAATTTTGAGTAGAATAATTTATTGTTATCATTATTACTTCTTAGGTAGCAAAGACTCCCGTGGGAGAAATATAACTATCTTATAGTAATAAAAAGCTTCCCTCCATAGACATTTAACTTTTTCTCATTTGTAGAAAATGCACAGACCTGTTTGTTAGGAAATTTGTTTTTCCTTGAAAATTAGCCATGGTACTACTAGACTCTCTGTGGGTTCTTTAATTCATTAGTAACAAATTTATTCTTCTTTTTTTTTCATTTCCTGTATTAAGAACATCGAAGGAATGAATTAGTCTGCAGGAGGCATGAAATGACTTTTTTTCTATATAGCGATGCAAATATCAGCTCTCTGATTATTTCATTGCCTCATCTGAGTAGCTCTTGAAATACTGTTTGCTGTGAGAATAAACATCTTGCCTGGTCATCTTCTAGGTTGGAAACACCTGCTCTGAGAGTTCTAGTCCCTGACCTTTGACTTTTATTCAGCTTTTTCCTTGTTCTCAGGCTTTCTGGCTATTGATATACTTACCTTGATGACATTTTACTTATGGACCATCCAAGTGATAGAATTAACTCTCTAAAAATCTCACAGCTTTGTTAGTTTACAACAATTGTTTTTTCCATTGCGGAGCACAGGCTCCGGATGCGCAGGCTCAGTGGCCATGGCTCCCGGGCCCAGCCACTCCTTGGCATGTGGGATCTTCCCAGACCGGGGCACGAACCTGTGTCCCCTGCATTGGCAGGCGGACTCTCAACCACTGCGCCACCAGGGAAGCCCTACAACAGTTTTAAAATATGCATTATTTCATTTGATTCAACAGCCTATGATATAAGAAAAGCAAACCTGATTACTTGATTCCATAAATAAGGAAACTGAGGTTCAGAGGGGTTAGGTGACTTAGCTAAGGTCATGCAATTAAGAAGTTGTAGAGCTAGGACTTGAAGCCAGATTTGATGCTTCTGCTGTTAAAAAACACTCTGTTGGCTTTCAGAGTTTCAGTTGTCCTTGGCCATGGTATGTTTTGCTAAGAAGATGTAACCTTTCCCTGTGTTCTCTCTTATCTTTTAGGTGATGATCTCTTAGAAGATGACAGGATTTTCAATATTTCAATACTTAATGAAGCTTGTTTGAAATTGAACAGGCATTCTAGGAAAGTTGGATCAGAACGAATGTACCATGTAAGAAGATCTCTTATGCTATTCGTTAATGAATTGTGTCACTTAAAAATTTGGGTGCTCTCCAAGTGGGGATCCAGAGTATTTAAAAACACTAATGGAATGAACTTCTAGATTGTTTGATTTTATTTTCTAGAGATGGATGTGAGATGGCTGCAAGTGAGGGACTAAATTGAAGGAAGACACTATTGGGTGATTTGCTCTCATTTTCTCTGATATTTCACATGTATTATATTTTACTTTGGTTCATTTATAGTTGCAGCTTATTTTGTCATCAAATTCACACTCGGATGTGGGTTTTAAAGAAACTTATTGCAGGACTCTTGGTCCTCACTTAACTTGAATTTATAAACATCACAAATCTCAAGTAAAATTATAAGTATATTCAGGCAGGAACTGAAAGTTATTATTTTTGTATCATTTTTAGTGCCTAGCAAATCATCTGGCAGAGAGTAGACTAAGTAAGTATTACATTAGAATTAATTCATTAACCATTTACCAAAAGAATATCGTGTATTAGGACCTGGAAGTTCTATTCAAACTAATATAAACATACAAGTAAACAGACAACTACAATATGGTGTAATGAGAGCTTTGATAAAAAGTAAGTAAATAAATGGAATAGGAGACTGTATGTATGTGTATATATGTCCGGGTACAATTTTTAAAAAAATATATTTATTTGGCTGCGCTGAGTCTTAGTTGCAGCACGCCGGATCTAGTTCCTTGACCAGGGATCAAACCTGGGCCCCCTGCATTGGGAGCACGGAGTCTTAACCACTGGACCACCAGGGAAGTCCCCATGTCCAGGTACAATTTTTTTAACAAGAAGCAGAAACATTGCAGAGTCATAAACAGTAAGTAGGAATTCACCAGATAAAAGATGTTGGATGAGGTGAAGAAGGGCAGTGTGGGCAAGTTGAGTAGCTTATTGGATAATTGAGAATATGTGGCTTTCTTGGGGAACAGAGAAAGCAAGGGGGAGTAGGAGGAGATGAGGCAAAAATCTGAATAGTGATCATTCCTGTATCCTGTACTTTTAAGCTTGGATCTTATTTTTTATGTCTATATGGAGGCACTGAAGGATTTTAAGCAGGTGAGTGAAATATTCAAATTTTAATATTGGAAAGAACACTGGACCTAGAAATATATTCAGGTACCCAAATAACTTAATATAAAACAAAGATGATTTTTTGAATGCGTACAGAAATAAATGGTTCTGGGACAACTGGTTAACTACTTGGTTAAGTAGATAAATGATTCTCACTTCATGTCCTACACTAAAATGATTAAAGAGTTCAATTGAAAAAAGATTAATTAATATGTTAGACAAAGGTTAATTTAAGTAACATGTGAAACACTCTTAAATCCATTGGAAGGAAGTGAACATTCAAAGGCAGTTTGCAAAAGAGAATATAGATACTGCCCAAACACACATGAATACACACATGAAAAGAATTTTTAAATCATGAGATACCACGATTTTTCTGTAAACCTGGAGAAAGTATTACTACACACAGCTGTGGGCCCTTAAATTGGCATGACTTTTCTGGAATAGTTATTTGTTAGGATCCATAAACTTCCACAAGTGTACTATAATTAATTATTCAAACATATACAGAAAGATTAAACTGTTCTCTGAAGCTTTATTTATAATAGGGGAAATTGGAAACAAATGTCCATCAATAGGGATTTGATTAAATAAATAATCATACATTTATTGGATAGAACACTATGCAGACATGAAATACCATCTGCTTCCCACTGGACAACATTTGTTGCTGTGGACCAATATTCCCATTGAAATGGTCTCTTTTTCTCCTGTTGGTCTGAGCCTTCTCTGTCTCTTTCACAAGCTAAATCTGATTACCCCCCAAGGTTGTGCCTTCCCTGTTCTCTTGTCATTCTATACCCGTCTTTGGTTGTCTTACCCATTCTCTTGACCTCCTTGACCATCTCCATGCTGAAGACTCCTAAATCGATTTCTTTAGGGCTAATCTGCTCTCTAAGCTCTGGGCCCTGTACCCCCCAAAAGGCTCCTGTGCTCCCTTTAGCACTGTGTCTTCACATAGGTGACTCTCCTACCTGCAAAGCCCTTACCTCCTTTACCTGGATAACTCCTGCTCGTCCTTCAGTGCTCAGCTCAGTCATCTCCCTGGTGGGAGGCCTTCACTGACCTCCTCCCCCAAACGCTGTCCCTGCTCTGAATTGTTTTTCCTACCCTTACTTTTCACAGCCCCAACTCACCTGCTTAATGCTAATTTCTCTTTCGGTCCACAATTAAGATGAGGAAACCTTCCCTGATCCCCAAAGAGGAGGGTCAGGTGTCCCTCCTGGGTACTCCTCCAGCTTCATGTATTATAACACTTATCCCTGGGTATTTTATTTGCCTAGATACTTACCTGTGAGTTCCTTGAGGTTAGGACCTGTATCTTATTTACTATTGTATAACCAACACTGTATACTCTGGCTGGTAAATAATAGGCAGTCTGTCTATTTATAGAATGAATTAATGATAGAGAAAAACTTTCTAATATGTTGTTAAGTAAAAGGACTATATTATAAAATCGTACAGACAGTGTGATCCAAATTTCGTTAACTAGAAAGTAATTTTTTGTTTATAGACTGAACTACATGTAGTTTAGGATGAGACTGACTTTGTATAGAAATGCAGCCTCCTTAGTTGTGAGGTTTTTCTCCAGCAGAGGGCAGCAGTCTGAACGCAGAAGTGGTGAAGTCAAACATCTGGATTGGCCCAGGGCTTTGAGTTTTCAAGAATGGGTGAAGTTGAGAACAAAGCGGCAAGGGTGTTGAGGGTATCAGGGAAAGAGAATGGTGGAAGTGATAGACAATGGTATCCAAGATAGGTGGGAAGATGAGGATGGGGGCATTAAAATATTGGTAGAAAATCTTGAGTGAGGAAATCTTGGGGGATTTCCTGAGAGAGATCAGACTGAGTGGGAATGAGTGGTCCAGAAGAACAAGGAATTGTGAGATCTTGGTGGAGCAGCTCAGAGGATGACAGTCAAGGATGTGGTGGTGGATGTGGGTAGCTGAAGCAGAATGGAGGAACTTCACGGCACTGAACTCAAGCAACTCTGAGGCCAAGTTTTGATGGCTTGCCTATAAGGACCTTTATGTTACCCAAGAGAATGATAGGAATCGGGGGAGAGAGGAATCTCCCAAATGAGCCAGGGTCTTGGATGTCTGTGGAAGAATGACAGTGATGAGGAAGGGTAGAGGGTGGAATAGCCAATGACACAAGCATCAAAGGAAACACTAAAAAACATGTACATCCAGCTAAAGCACATTGATTGATCAAGGGCTGATCATGTTACTTCTAGGACCTTCACATGTTTTTTTTTTTTCCTCTTATAAATCCCTATATTATACATACATCTTGAGTTGGCAGTGGTTAGAGCATTATTGGGTTACCAGTGTGTGTGATGACTCTGTGGACCAAGAACTGTTTTCCAGAACTCTAATAGGAAGGCTCCAGTGAAGTACCATGACTCAATCGCTTTGCATGCATAATTTGGGGTAGTCCTCGTACAGTGTAAAAAGTCTGTTCCATGAGGCTTGTCTATGGATTCCTTATGAATGAAAAAAAATGAAAAGAATTTTGCCCAGTAACTCCAGTACAGCCTCCTTCACCTGGGAAGGCTCAAAGGGTTACTTTAGAATAGCCTGACATTTTGTCCATCTGAGATGTAGTTATGCATTTTTTGTTGTTGTTGTTGTTTTGGTTTGGTTTTTTTTTTTTTTTTGCGGTACCCGGGCCTTCCACTGTTGTGGCCTCTCCCGTTGCAGAGCACAGCCTCCGGACGCGCAGGCTCAGCCCGCCGCTCCGCGGCATGTGGGATCTTCCCAGACCGGGGCACGAACCCGAGTCCCCTGCATCGGCAGGCGGAGTCTCAACCGCTGTGCCACCAGGGAAGCCCTGTAGTTACGCATTTTAAGCTTAGTCTTATAGCTGGTTGAGAGGGAGGTTGAATAGGGTACGTAGGGTAGCTTTGTAAAGTTCTTGTCCAGTTTAGCCTGCTATTGTATTAAAAATAATTCTGTGTGGGTGAGGACAAGTAGAAGGAACCTTCCTGCTTTCTTTCCATTTTGCTTATAGTCTAGACATCTGCAAGCCAAATGAATTTAATGCATCACTTTCTTTTAATCTCACGACAGTTTAAAGTTCTAGGTCAAAGGTGGTATCTGAATAATTTTTATCACGCAACATCATTTAACTTCACAACGAGGGAACAAACCGCAGTGGTGTGTTTAGATCTGTATCCAGCAACTGAGTACACAGTGAATGTCACCCTCCTGGGATCTCCCGAGCAGCACTCAGTGCAAATAACAATAACAACTGCACCAGCAGGTGGGTGTAGATGTCTTTCTGTTTGGTATCTTTTTTAAAATAATTAATTAATTAATTAATCTATTTTATTTTTGGCTGCGTTGGGTCTTCATTGCTGTGCACAGGCTTTCTCTAGCTGTGGAGAGTGAGGGTTACTCTTCCTTGTGGTGCGCGGGCTTCTCATTGCAGTGGCTTCTCTTGTTGCAGAGCATAGGCTCTAGGCACACGGGCTTCAGTAGTTGCAGCACGCAGGCTCAGTAGTTGTGGCTCGCGGACCCTAGAGCGCAGGCTCAGTAGCTGTGGTGCATGGGCTTAGTTGCTCCATGGCATATGGGATCTTCCTGGACCAGGGCTCAAACCTGTGTCCCCTGCAGTGGCAGGCAGATTCTTAACCACTGCGCCACCAGGGAAGCCCACTGTTTGGTATCTTAAGACAACAAGTTAAATATGTGTATTGAACTGTACAACATGGGGCAGCATAAAGAATGATAGTCTCAGAGTCAAGAGACCTGGGTTCTAGTTCTAACAAACTACCAATGTTTTCTGGGGCACAGTGTCCCTGAATCTTACCACCTCTCCCCTTTCCCACTTGGGTTCTGGCTCAGAGATGGTACAGACCAGGAGTGGACTGCTTTACTCAGGAATTCCTAGGAGTGATGGATTGAGAATACTGTAAGGCTTCCTATCTCTCACCTCCAATTTAAGACAGCTGAACCCTAAGGGTAGTCATTATGGGCAACTAGAACTAACTTCCAGATCAGAAATGTGAGCTGCAGTGTGTTGGACATGGGTAGGACAAGGAGGCCTCCTGACGGCGCCATACGAGCACATTAACCCAACACAGAGAACAGTGGCCTAAAGCAGGTCAGGCTCCTTCTGTTGCTTGCAAGGAAGCCAAATAGAGGCGGCTGTGTCAACTCCACAGCGCTCCCTGGTGGGGAGGGATGCAGAAGTCTCTACCATTTCTTTTGTTCTTTCATCAGTTGGGTTGCTTTTTTAAAAAAAATATTTATTTATTTATTTGGTTGTGCTGGGTCTTAGTTGTGGCTCACGGGCTCCTTAGTTGTGGCATGCGAACTCTTAGTTTCTGCATGCATGTGGGATCTAGCTCCCTGACCAGGGATGGAAACTGGGCCCCCTGCGTTGGGAACATGGTGTCTTAACCACTGTGCCACCAGGGAAGTCCCTCATCAGTTGGGTTTAATGGACAAATTTCTGGGCAACCATTGAAAGAAAACAGTAGAATAAGATAGGTCTTGCTCCTACCTTCCTGAGGGCTTTATCCTGTTCACCGACTGATCTTTGTGGGTCAGTAGTGGGCACGTTGGTCTTTGTACTTGGAAGGCTCTGAAATGCAGTAGACATAAATGAGGGCCATGCAGCACCGGAGGCTGAAAATTCACTCTTTATTGTATTTTTCTTCTCAGATTGTGCCTTCTATCAGCAGAGGTTGCACGATGAAGACCTCCAGACAGCATAAACCTAGCCCCCACGTACATTTCTGGCTACAGAATAATGCTCACAATTTGAATATGCATTTCCTCCAATTATTAAATCCTCAGAGAAATTAAAGTCTAAAAATAACACCCACCTCTCCCTGTAAATTAACGTGTAAAGGCACTCAAGTTCCAGTTTCTTTCCTCCCCAGTGCCTTCTCTGCTAAGCCTCCCTTAGAGTGGCTTCCCTGAGACAGGAAGTGCATTCTAACTGTTACATCCTATAAATCTTTTTTTTTGTAGTAGATGTTACTTCTTAGGTACCTCCAAAGTTGAATTAATCTTTCTTTTTTTAAATTTTTTCTTTTTTAAGGTTGAATTAATCTTATTCCAAGTTTCATTGTCCCATTTCTCAACATGAGTCCCAGAGATACAAAACTTAGAAAAGCAAAGTTATGTGATAGTTGTACAACACTGTGAATGTACTAAATATCACTGAATTGTATACTTTAAAGTGGTTAATTTTATGTTGTGTGAATTTCATCTCAATTAAAAAAGAAAAGCCAATGGCTTAGATACGTTCTTCTTGCACCTGGGCCTCAGTTACCTTCTGAGTGATTCACACGTGACGTAATGCAAGTAAAATGTTTAGAATGGTTCCTAGTACATAATAATGATGATGACAATACTAGCTTTGTTTATTGAGCACTGAGGATGTCCAGGCATTTTTCAAAGTGCTATCCTTTGGTCAATCCAAACCTACCCAACCTTTTAAAAATTATTTTTTTCCCGTTTTACAGATTAAGGATCATGAGGCACAGAGAAGTTAAGCAACTTGCCCAAGATCACACACTTAGTGAGATGTACAACTGGGATTTGAATACAGGCATTCTGGCTCCAGGGCCCTCACTTTTATTTTTTATTTATTTATTTATTTATTTAATTATTATTTTTTTTTTTTGCGGTACGCGGGCCTCTCGCTGCTGTGGCCTCTCCCGTTGCGGAGCACAGGCTCAGCGGCCATGGCTCACGGACCCAGCCGCTCCGCGGCATGTGGGATCCTCCTGGACCGGGACACGAACCCGTGTCCCCTGCATTGGCAGGCGGACTCTCAACCACTGCGCCACCAGGGAAGCCCTGGGGCCCTCATTTTTAATCAGTACATCTACTGCTTTTTACTAAATATTTAGTGCTTAAAAAGAAAAAAGGGAAAATTTTGTTCCTAGAACCTAGTGCATAAGTCAGTCTAGACCCACCTTGCTTTTTTCAACCTTGGACTGTGAGCAAAAACTTCAAATGCCATGAATGTGTAAATGCATTCGTTTAATAAGTGTTCATTTCTTATCTACTGTGTGTCAGGCAGGTTCTGATAGCTGACAAGGTAACAGCAATAAAACAGACTCAGCTGTCATGGGGTTGGAGTCAGGAAGTTGGAGAGGAGACAGATAAACAAGTAAGGAAATATATGTTAGGTGGGGCTAAGTGGTAAGATGAAGAATAAAGCTTGGCAAAGGGAGTGGCAATTGATGGTCAGGGAAGGCCTCTATTATAAAGAGACATGTAAGCACAGGTCTGAAGGAAGTGAGGGGGAACACCAAATGACAGGCATGTCCTTGGCATGTTCTGGGAACATCAAGGGAGCCAGCGTGGCTGGAGCAGAGTGAGCTAGAGAAAGTGGTGGGAGATGAGATCTCTAGCTTGAGTATAACGAGGGGGCCATGGTGTCAAGTTCAGAAAGTGAGACTACCGTTACCTCCTCCTTTGCAATGTGGACCCCAGATTATCAGTAGTGCGTGTAATCTAGCATGTGATGTGACAGCCTCTATAGGTTACTCAGCTATCTGAAGTCCACCCCCTGTGAATTTCAACTTAATTTGGGAAATCTCTTCTCTTGAGGTTATTGGATTCAGTCTGACACCAGGCTTCCCACGTGTTGTGGGGGAAGGAATTCTACGCTTTTTGAAAATTTTGGAACTCTGCCAATGGTGGTTCCAGGTCTTTCTTGGTGTCTATCCCAAGTATTTAGAACCTTTTATTTTCATGTCTCCTTTGAGCCCTTTTTCTACCTACCCTCCACCATTGCTGAAGATCTTGATCTGTGCAGTGAAAGAGCCTCCTTTCTTTGTGAGCAGGACATCCAATATTTATAGTAGGAAGCTCTTCAAGTGAAATGCACTGTCTTAAACAGAAATGGACTCACAGACATGGAAAACAAACTTATGGTTGCTGGCGGGGGTGGATAGCTGGGGGGCAGGGGGAGAGATAAATTAGGAGTTTGGGATTAACCTATACACACTACTGTATATAAGGTAGGTAAACAACAAGGACCTACTGTATAGCACAGGGAACTGTACTCATTATCTTGTAATCACCTATAATGGGAAAGAATCTGAAAAAGAATAGATATATATGTAAAATTGTATACTTGAATCGTACACTTGAAACTAACACAACATTGTAAATTAATTATACCACAACAACAAAAAAGGAGGGAACATACCAAATGGGGAGAAAATTACTTCAATAAAGTCATATTTAACTAAAAAAAAAAAAAAGAAGTGCATTGTCTTGCATGCCTGCCTCCTTCACACTCCCAGTTTCCTGCTGTTTTCTCGGAATTTCTCTATCCCCCGAAAGATCCTAAGTATTACTTTAATTCTGAGCAGCGTGGCTTCCTATTATTGAATGCCTTGCTTCTGAGTCCTGCTTCCTGGTTAGGAGGTTTCCCTTGTCTTCCCTGGAGTATCACCCTCAGCTGATCCTTGAGCTGCTGTTGAGTTTCTGGAACCTGTGTTTTCACTGGTCTAATGAGGTCTAGGAAGTCCCCTAGTTTTAGTGGTTTTTCACTGAAGCCCCACCTTTCCTTAGAACTGAATTTCTGAGACTTGAACTGCCTGTGTTTCTTTGATGGGAACTGAAGCATTCTTTCCTGCCACCATTTCCTTTTCTGCATCGGGAGAGATAATCCTCCAGTGTTCCAGGTCCTTCTAAGTATTCCTACTGCTCCGGCAGGCCAGCTGAGTAGTAAGCTTTCAACCTTCCATGCCAGCTGTTTCTGTTCCTTCTTCCTCCCCAGGCCTGGCTAATACCTTTTGCTCGGTCTTAGTGCTTTCCTTCTCTGTATTTGCTTTTTGTTTTCATACTTACATTTTTGTTCTCCTAACATATTACTTTTGATTCTGCCTGTGAGGTCTCTATAGAGCAAGAATGGTGCCACGTTCACCCAGTGTTCAGGTAAATTCTGCCTACCTTCCCTTTTGTTAGGAGGTATTTATTTTTATTCAGTTCAGCCTATAACCTCAGCCCTGATCAAGGGTCATGCTCCCTGGATCCTCCTTAACATTTCTCTGCTTTTCTGTTCCTTCTTTTCAAGTTCTAAATCCTTGCATTTCCCCGGGCAGGCTTCCTTATAGCCTGGGCTATACCCTCTCTTTCATCTGTAAGAACAATGCCACCTTGGAATTCCTTTAGTGATACCTGAAGAATTCTACACTGATCCTTCTAGTATTTCTCTTTTTAAATATGTCCACATTTTCTGTAACTACATAGCACCACAACTCCAGTTATTAAAGAGTTCTCCGTTAA